GTTGATTGGTACCAGACTCGCCTGGAAAGATGGAAGCATTGAGTTGTACATCGGCTGGCCGCCGCCACAAGTCATTGTATGGGCCACATACGCATTCAATAGCATCCACGATTCTGAGTGGAAGTCGAATAGCGGGCGCATCCCTTAGACGGGATCGATTAACGTCCCTAGACTTTATCATTTACTTTATTTAGTAATATCTATAGAAAAACAGTATGCAGAAATTATCTACAACATAATGATAATAAAATGAATACATTATGATAAAATGATGAAAGAATTTTTGGCGTTAATCAGTCCTTTCTGAGGGATGCGTCCCCGCACTCGACTTCCATTCAGAATCGTAGTGGCGTAATGAGTGCGTGTGTGGCCTATACAATGACCTGCGGTGACCAACTGCCGATGTACAAGTCAGTGCTTTTTTCCTCCCAGACGAGTCTGGTACCAATTAACCGACGCCGGAGGATGGAAAGCTTGGTTTGCCTAGGCGGATAGTGTTCCGGGATTCAAACCCCTGACCGTGCGTGTGAGATAGTGCGCCATTTGCCACTACCCCACCTCCGCCCTGCATAATGATATTTGGAAATAATGATTAGCTTCAGTAAGGTATTACTTCAGTTTACCAACGGATGCTGCCACCTATTCGATGAAATTTCGCCCAATCATCAATGAATTGTCGTTGAGGGTGTTGTATTTGGTTGAATAGCTGACAACTTTCCGATGTTTATAGGATACGCTTGACAGCATCGTGGTCTAACACCATTGCCGTCCAATCTCGAGATTGAACCACCTAACAGAGTCGTCACCGTCGCCGCCATCGCTGTCGCTGCCGTCACCGCTCCTCCCCTACCTACTATTCAATGTACGCCCTCACACTCACCGTTGCTGCTGGTAAGTCATATTTTTAAATTTCGGTTCCAATTTTTCATGGTTGTTAATGCTCTTCAACCCTCAAGCACTCACCGAAGGCTTCAATAAATTACCCACTGCTTTCGATTGAATCTAACCATGTCAGGAAAAAACGCTAACTAGGTAGGCATTTCTGCGGGAACATCGTTTTCCCACTTTTGGCGAAACTCTCTCGGGAAGAAAATGATAGAGTGCAGGGTCGAAGGGTAAATAATTAGTAGGTAGAGCGAGAACTCTGGCCAACTTGGTCTAACTCGGTTGAATAGAATTGTATGGTTGAAGGTTTGATTGGCTTTCACGACTTAGGTGGGCTTAGCAAGGGCAAGGTTGGAGTCAGAGCGCTTCATAGTCGATGAGATGATCAATAATACTCACAAAATATTTAAAACAAAATGTGCTTACGGNAAACTCTCTCGGGAAGAAAATGATAGAGTGCAGGGTCGAAGGGTAAATAATTAGTAGGTAGAGCGAGAACTCTGGCCAACATGGTCTAACTCGGTTGAATAGAATTGTATGGTTCAGGGTTTGATTGGTTTTCCCGACTTATGTGGGCATAGCAAGGGCAAGGTTGGAGTCAGAGCGCTTCATAGTCGATGAGATGATCAATAATACTCACAAAATATTTAAAACAAAATGTGCTTACGGTGAATTCTCCAGTCGGAATGCCCTTTGGATTATAGCTAAGCTTCAGTTGAGAAAAAAGGCGTCTTCAATTTAATGAAGTGAAGCAGTAGCTACATTGACGGATGTGCTTCGAAAGAGAGCTTTTCCCGAAAATGTCCGTAAGCCTTATGGAAAATTCTTTTAGCAGGATCGTTCCGCTCACTGAATACGGTAATTATTATCGAGCCAGGGTCTTACGCTACCTTTTCAAGAACTTAGTTATTCTATTGGGCACTGAGAGATGTCAAGGAAATAATTTGATATCTAGGTGGAATTCAAGGAGAATATACAAAAGAAGTCTTTGACGTCTAGAGTCGTCTGTGACAAATTCACATCCAACGCATAGCCCTTATCATTCTGAATCAGATTCCTCCTTTGGGTGGAAAAAAAACTGTTCTAAGGCGTTGGCTGCCCCCACATGCGATTGCATGGGTCAAAATTGCCTGCAAGTGGATCCTACCTAATAAAGTGCCTAAGTAGGTAGGAACTTGTAGCTAGGGGGAAGCTCTATTGGAAACGGACTAGACGATATTTTATTCGATTGTTTATTACCCTTCTACTTCACTCATGCTCACCTACGGATGAGCACTGCAGGCTGTACCTCTCAATAATTGTGTTAGCAATCTATATCGGTCTGGGTAACAAACTATGACTGAAGTAATTTTGCCTATCGACTCGCTGTTTATGTTTCCTACGTTTTTCGGCTGGCTTTCCACTTCGGCAACATCGCTTCTCATCAGCTGTGCTCATAATCCTTATATTTTTATCGTGCCAGTAACTTAAAAGAAGAGAGTTAAAAGGAAAAAACTCTTTTCTGAGTTTATCATTATAACACTGGTTCAGTGCCAAAGTTCCAAATCGACATGCAGAGGGTGCCTGGATTAAACCCGGCCACGGCACGAAAACCTATCCACCTGTTTTCGTGCCTTCAAAGTTGTTCAAAAAGAATTGCATCAAAAAACTACTATTTGTTGGTGTACTGTAGATAACATAAAATTACTGCGACTTACCTATCCATAAAGCCTACTCAATTACTCACTCACGCATCTTCTTGATCCAAAAATGTCACCAATGAATGTTCAACGAGCTCTGCAGAAGCAGGGCGTATTCCGGAGAGGTTGCAGGGCGTTTACAATCTCGCTTTGTCCGCTTTGTAGGTAAATCTTTACTTGAGTTGACAATTCGTAGTTTCAAATTCCTTTCTTGTACCAACTACAGTACACTCAGTCGAATAATTTATTGGAATCGTTGTTTACTGAGGGATAACTTTTGACCGTAAACATCAGCCATCAAAACAACAGCATCAATCACTATTCTTTGATAGGAAGCCAAAATTAGTATGCATTTTAAAAGCGGATTTGGTAGCCGGCGATTCAGATTCGAGCGTTTATTGCATTGTCTCGAGCGGAAATCGGTTTGAAGGCCGAAAATCATTAGCCTACTAAAAGGTACACTCGAGCAAGGTGCTGCGCTATTGTTTATGATTGCGGACGGCTGCCATGCAGAGTAAAAGACCAAGAATTTGAACGTCTATAATAGGAACTTTATTCAATGGACTTGACCAGAGCATAGCGGAGCTATAATTGGGGACTCCTGGTCTAAATAACAGCGTCCACATGGACTATGCCCAAATTGTTAAAATTCTAGCCTATAAAAATATTTGAAAAATCATTTGAAATAGTAATTACTATGGTAATTGTGAAATAAAAAAGTGGAAACACATAGTAGAAATAAATAATAGTAAAAAAGTGAAAAATAGTAGGAATAAAAAATAACTAGAAATAGAATAAAAATAGAAATATGAATACATTTATTCCACTAACTCTAGTATGACCTGATCCACTGAGCACGTAGTTCTTTTGGATGCGCCATACTTTCGGCCTTTGTTGTGCATCGTCAAAAGCGCTTAAAAGCGCTGCAATCGACGATAAGTTTGCCATGACTAGAACGGAAGTCATTACCGAAATTACTGCTTCCTATCTCATTGACTGGGTTACTTCGACCTTCTTGATAATCCCTGTGGTCATAGAAAGGAGATTCTATTGCTCTCCTAATTTGCAAAAAAAAATTCACAACTACTCACTTGCAATTGTTGATACAACGCAATTATCGCTATCAAAATTACAAGGAGACAGGAGGAGACATGGCGCATCCTGAGTAGTTGCCCTTTTGCACCTAACGTGTTTAATTGATTTGAAAGCTCGCTTTTTTTCAGTCCTAGCGTATTCCAATGTTCACTTTACTCTATATCAGTATTGTAGCTTCTTTGCATGGTAGGTCATTGAACCGGCAATACTTTCGCTGGAACAAATGACATCGTAGACGACCGAGTAACATTTTTCATCCCAGACCTCATTGTTGCAATGTTTTTTCACTCTTCATCCCCATCACTCCAATTTCGCCTTCATTTCGGGCGTGGGTTGAGGTAATTGAGGGTGAGTTTTTGGGGCCATGGACTGCTGTTGCTTCGGGGCCCTACATATTTACGCCCAACTGCCTCAACCAGCAGGATGGGCAATATTTCATCAAGAAAATGAACCTCAATAAATGTCTACTGAAGAGTAGTAACGGCAGTAGGAAGTAAACAAAAAACTTCTGAATGTTCTGGTCGCTCTAGAAAGAGCGGGTACGACTTGTTTATTCAATTATACGAATGAAAAGTTTAAGATCAAAGCGTCTTCAGAACGCCATGCACTCGAATTCCTCCCAGATTCGTAGTGCATTTGTTTTCGTTTTCGCCTAGGCGACAACCCGCTAAGCCGACTAATATACAACCTAGTGCTTTCATCCTCCCAAACTGGTCTTTTATCAAGAACCAACTGTCCACTAATGATGGAAGACTTTGTTGACTCGGGTGGGTATCGATCCGAGATTTCATATCCGCATCATAGACGTGGTAGTGTGGTAGGAGGCACCACCTAGCATTACCACTCCCCCGCTCAGCGGATGATTATTTTTCATGAATTATCCTTACCATGGAAGAGGAATTGGGTCTGCTTGGCCAGGCAACTAATCTCATTGTTGAGAAGTTAGAAGACAACTTATTCGTCACGTCTCAAAAGAGTCCATCCCTGTCTGAATCATTCCAGCCTCTGGGCTTTGTCAGTGCTCGGACTGCTAGAATTTTAGAGGGAATGCATTAGAATGATGCAAAAATTATAAACAAAGTGTGGTTTAGAATACGAGTTTTTTCCCTGGAATTGCGAGAAAACCTTAGGAAAAGCTCTTCTGATGCGGTTTTTCTCACAGAGTTTTATTCACCTGCTAACGGCACTATCATCCCTTTAACGGCTGCTTTAGAATCTACAATAATATAATTATTTTTTTCACTGTTCTGGTTGAAATTATCTGAATAAAGAGAGCGGTTATCTGAGTAGTCAATGGGTATCATAACGTAATTACGACTGATTTCAGCCCTATCTGCAGCCATGGTTGCAAGTACACCGACTCAGATCCAGCTCGTTCACGATCTGCTCGATAAATATGATAAGAAGGCGAAACCGATGTGGGACAATACGAAACCGATCAATGTCTCGTTCACCGTATCACTTTACCAGATTCTTGAACTGGTACGGCAAGTCATTCCTCTGTAGTACATACCCAGCGGCTGTCAAGAACTAGAATCTAACGAATGGGGTAGCCTTCGACCGTTTCCCACCCCACTCTTTGGAAGCATACGCTCTTTAGACTGTGAATGGGACTCAACCCCATTTGCCTGTACCTCGATCTTCGCATTGATCGTAGTTCAAAGGCTCACAGTGTTTATTCAGCCCCATGCAGTCGATTCTTGGGCCTTTGCTTCAATATTTAGGAGGATATAGCACTTGGCTCGAAGCTTTTGTAGCGAGTTTGCTGTGAAAGTGGGTACTCGTACTGCTTTTAGGCGTGGCATGTATGTAGACTGGGAGGAGTTTATTGGTCAGAGGGTAATTTACTGTTGCAGTAGCAGAATTTGTGAGTATGATTTTTCTTGATAGGTGAAAAGACGAAGCACAAGATTAGAGGCTTAGGAGGGAGAGCAGCTTCGAATTTTGTCCAAGTCATTTCAACTTAGTGAACTGGTCCATTCCTCTACTTTTTGCCCAGGGTAGCTTGTCCTTTTAAAATCATTCGAGCCTTAACTGATCACTTTGCTCACTGAAATCTTACTATTAGCAATTTTCACTATTCAGAACGAACCGCAGCAGTTCGTACTATTAAACGCTTGGATCATTGAGGTAAGTATCCAGAGCACACTAAGCACAAATTTACCGGAGATGACCACTTACCTATTGAATTGGAATTGTTTTTAGAGGTGGTATGATGAATTCTTGTACTGGTCCCCTATGGAGTACCAAAATATCACTGAATTACGGCTACCGTATGATTCAATTTGGTTACCGGATACTACGCTTTACAATTCGTGAGTTGCAGTCAACAACACACCAGCGAATCCGCCATTAGTCCTTTAAACAAGGTATTCAGGTTGGTAATGAAGGACGATGATACTCGACGTCTTTTGAATGCCAAGCTTACGACGGATCGTGAACGGCGAGCATCTCTCATTGAACTTCTTTACCCTACCATCTATAAATTCTCTTGTTTACTTGATCTGCGATTTTTCCCATTTGATGTACAGGTTGGTTCCACAGCATTAGAGCTCCTGAACAATTTAATCGATGATTAATCAATATTCCAATCAAGAAGCATTTCGCACAAGCTTGTCTTGCTGAGTAAAATTTCGAGTAGAGTCTATAGCCTGCAAAGAAGGCCGTAGTGCCTAGGGTTTTGAACCTGTTTCTGCGGTGTTGAAGAAATATTTGTGACCGATATTGATTTTACGCGTATCTAATCAATACAAAATTTTTGTCCTCCTCTCCCATCCTCTCCATAATGCTGCTGATTCTTTTGCTTTCAGAATTGTACAATGATCTTCTCATCATGGACCTATGATCAGACGGGGATCGATTACTTTCCAGCTTC